TTCCTCTCTGCAGCCCTGAGTTTAGAGCGATGTTCACGGAGAACATCGGACAGCCAGGGGGCAGAGGGGGTAGTGCGTGCTGGTCTGGATGAAAGTGGGCAAAAGTTGTCTAACCAAGATGTTAGAGTGGAGCAGAGTGTCAGCAGCACTGTTTGTGTCCAGTGCTGAAAACTGAGAGAGTGAAGGAAGTGAGGATGAAACCATAGAGGATAGGCGAGAGGGAGAGAGTGAGCGTAGGTTACGTCGAAAGGTGACCTGCAGAGGAGTGTGTGCTGTGTCAGGAGTTAGTGTGAGGTTAGAAGTGATGAGGAAGTGGTCTGAGGTGTGCAGTGGAGTAAGTAAAGTGTTGTGGAGCAATAGGTGGAGTAAGTAAAGTGTTGTCAGTGGAGCAATAGCGTGTGTAGATGAGGTCCAGTTGTTTACCTGATTTGTGAGTAGCCGTAGTAGACACTCACTTGAGATCAAATGAGGCGAGCAGAGTGTTGAAGGTCGCACAGGTAGAGTCGATGGTCTTTACACTCGTCGGTCTTCACACGAGGAGTGAAGGAGGGCTGCCGCGGTGAACTAACCAATTTTATACTTGCCTGAAGTCAGCTGGCCACACCTTACTATTTAGAAACTGGAAAGTCCTGCGATACGCACGAGAACAAACGCGACTTGAGCACATATTTACCACGGTAAAACACAGTAAGTGAAACAATGTTTCCTAGCAACGACAACCGCGCTGAAACCTAATGAGAAAACAAGACAAAACACTTACAAACTGCTGTCCTCTTCTGCTGCTCGACTGCTTCTTCTAACAAGTGCTTCCAAACAGGTAAATAAGTACCTTTACTGGCTTTGGCCATGCCTTACTATTTAGCAAACCGAAACTGGAAAGTCCCGCAATACGCACGAGAACAAACGCGACTTGAGCACGTATTTACCAAGGTAAAACACAGTAAGTAAAACAATGTTTCCTAGCAACGACAACCGCGCTGAAATCTAATGAGAAAACAAGACAAAACACTTACAAACTGCTTAAAATGTCATAAAATGTAAAATATATAAAATATATCAAAAATTCTTTTGGATAGGTTTTACTTAAGTCCAGACGATATTAAAAAAAAGTCCAGATGATATAAAAAGTGACATGAAATGATTTTAACCATTTTCCATTTTTGGCAATTTAAAGGTAAAGTTCACCCAAAAATTTAAAATTCTGTCATAATTTACTCACCCTTAAGTTGTTCCAAACATGCATGATTTTCTTTCTTCTGTTGAGCACAAAATAAGATCCTTAGAAGAATGTTGGTAACCAAACAGTTGCTGGTAGCCATTGACTTCCATAGTATGGGGGAAAAAATATGTTTAGTTACCGACATTCTTCAAAATATTTTTTGTGTTGTGAAACAATCTCTAAAATCTTTAGAGATTTTAAATTATAAATTATAAAAAATTATATTTTATAATTATTATTATTTTTTAGTTTAGATTAACTCTTTTTATTGGTTTTATTTGATCAGAGAGATACAAAAACAATTACAACAACTGTTTCGACCTATAATTATTATTATGTTTTAATTCAATTAAAAAAGTAAATAAATTAAAATAATAAGTAATAGTAAGCATTAATTACAGGATGCTCTGTGCAACCAGATGGTGTAGTTATGACATCTACCAGCAGGGACTAATTAGGCTAACCAGCCAAACACTGACCCTTTGGTCTCTGGCTGTCTACATCTCATATTGTTCTCATCCTGTCTCACATGCATACCCTTCCTCATCCTTTCTCTTTTTCATTCTCTCATTTAATTGTAATTTTTTTCATTTTTACCCAGTTTCTTTGTCTCTGTGGTGTGGCTGTGTTCATCATGTAACCGTGATGAATGAGCTGAAAAATGAGCTGCTGTAAATGGTACTGCAGCAGGAAGTAGCGGTTCAGAGATGTAACACTTGCGGCACTCTGCAAGCCAGCAACATCTTCTGACTGCAATATGACACTGACACCACTGCACCTCATTGAAAGACAGAAAGATAAGGAATGGGAGGGGTGGGAAAAAAGGAGAGAGAGAGGAATAAATGATTAAAGATGAGGTGAAAACTAGAGATAAAATGCATGTTGGGAGTCCAATAGTGCTGACTGATCAGAGGAATAAATCTGACAGGGATAATGTTATCCCCGAGGAAAATCAAATCCAAATACTCTAAAAGACTCAGTAAATGTACGCCTTTATCTCTTAAGCCAGCCCCCTTATTCCAGCACGCTAACTGTGCGGTCTGTGAGGGCCTAATACCTGCTCTTTGATTTAATGAACACTGGCACATGTGAATCTGTAGGCTCCTGCGCCGCTGCTGCTCTTGATAAAGACTGAAAAGCCGTATTTGGCCTGATACTCTGACGCTGAAGGCATATGACAGATTTTTGAAGATGGTTTGGTTGAGATGCAGGATGCCTTTGTGTTTTACAGACACATATAGCAAGGGTGAATCATAAAATATGCAGCAACATTTCACCTTGAATTACACTAAAATTTAGAGCGATTCGGCCTGCAGCATGTGGTAATGCCACTCATAGATAATGGAGAACGTGTAAACAAGCCTTAAATCAAAAGAATGTTTATGTTCAATATTTTATCAGTGTTAAGGCAGAATTGTAGTTGCCTGAAGGTCTACTGAAGTGTTATTTTCTTAAAGAGGAAGTGTGTCATTGCTGCACCACTAGCGACGCCAAACAGAATTTAAAAAATAAAAAATTATTGATGAAAACAATGATTGAAAAAGTTCTCCAAGTTTCAAACAGTCCCATCTGTGCCAACTGTCTGCATATAGCCCAAACTTAGTAACCACACACGTCATCTGTGCCTGAATTTGCTACGCTAATTTATGGGTCTTCAAAGCTGGACCGTTGCATTCAGGAACTACTCAGAGAAGATTGAAAATGGCAATAAAAACATCAGAGATAAAATGACAACAGTGTTTGAGTTTGGACGGTAGGTGGGGGAAAAAAGTGTAGGCTTCAGATAGCAATTCCATTTGGTGCTGCTAGTGGTGCAGAAATTATGTACTTCACCTTTAACATAAAGAAGGGCTGTCAAGAAGTTAGGTGATTGTTTATGCACTAGATCCTGTTGTAGGTCACTAGATACTTTAATAGTGGTTCAATTTAAAATCAATGTTTGGATATTTAACATCAATTATATATTATAGATGTGTATAATCCATCTTACTGGCAATTCAATGCCTCTCAAGTGTGATATTTCTTAAAAGTTGCGGTGATGGGTAAAGTAAGAAGAGATGTCAATATAGAAGA